GAGATATGGTTTATTTGTGATGTTTGAATGTAATATTTCCATTGTGTGTGGATTTGTTTGTTTGAGATGGAAAATATTGGGCTTAATTGGAGAATTTATAAGGGTGGTCATGTCACATGTATGGTCAGGTGAACTGCATGTGAAATTGTGGAGGAATTATTATTATTTTTTTTTTAAGTGAATTAAGAGACAGATGGCATGCATACAAAGAAGGGAAATGCTGAGGTCCCAAGTATTCCGTCGAGATTTGTAATCGTTAGATCATCATGTAACCGTCAGAGATAATTAATCTAACGGTTACAAACCCTGACGGAATGGTTTCGTAAATGGACCGTAGCATCTTCCTACATAGAAAGAAAAAAGATACTATTATGAAACGTTTAAGCCATCATTTAGGCTCACGTAATTATCAGACTGACATATATTTTGATTAATATATATACTTTTACTAAAAAAAATATCATACTTTAAAAATAATATAAAAAGTTTATTGACATTTGATGTCATATTTTTTCATTTTTGTTTATATAGTATGACAGATCGACCAGTCTAATCATATTAATGTTGTGAGGTTTAATTTGAATGGATGGGGGCGTGTATAAAAAATTCGTGTCACATGCAAATGGGAGAAAGGGAAGATTATTTTGTGTAGGAAATATGTAGAGGTCACATGGATGGCCGTTTTCATATGAATGCGCAGATAATATATATAAGCAATCTCAAGAGAAATTGATGTTTATTTATTTCGAGTGTCGAATCTTAATGGTGATCCAATGATTATGATAATGAGGTCAGAGAAAATATATAATATTTAACTGTCGAAATTAATGATGATCCCTTCATTATAATAATTGGAGATAATTACAAAATTTATCAAAGTCTAGTTGCAAATCTAATAAGTAATTAAAGATCATCAGTTCCTCTTAATTTGTCTTGTGTTAATGTGCGTGTCAAAGCCTCATTCTATAAAATTGTCATACACATTAAGCCGATTTACAGTAATTTTTGTGTACTAATATTTTTCTTTATTTTAAACTATACATATATCAATAAAACAATGTAATCACAGACTAATATACCATCATAATAGTTTAATTAAACAGCTAAAAAATTATATTTAGTGTAACTGCACTCTAGTAGCCTAAGGTGGATAAGTCTACGTGTGTAAATGAGTCGAGCCGAGCCGAATTTACAAGCGCTCGTTTTCTTTAACAGCTCTATGGAAAACAGAGCACCAGCCAAAAATCAGTATTTTTGAATTTTGAGTTGAAGTTGTGGTTCTGTTGGCCAAAAAGCAATCAAGTAACTTGGACACCAAATCTAAACATACTGCACGTTAAAAAGTCAAACCTATACGTGTCATGCACGTGTGCACGAATCAAATGTGTTGCTTGCCCGATATGTACGGGGCGCGCTAAGGGTTGCTGAACACAAGGCGGCAATCGTGGAGGAGTTGAGGGGGAAAAATGGAGATTTATTTGGATTTGATTCAAATCTAGCTAATTTACTTATTTTCTCCTATTCATTATAAATGTCGTTTTGACTTTTGTGATTCATCTATTTTGTTATGTATCTAGACATATTAATGTCTAGATACATAGCAAAATAGATGAATCAAAAAAGTCAAAACGACATTTATAATGAACATAAGGTAGTAAATTTTTTAGGGTATATTTGGTAAGTTTAGCATGGCTGGTAAGTTAACTTAGAACTCATAAATTAATTTTGTGTTTATAATTTAGGTTAATTTCTGAAAAAAAAGCTAGCTTATATTTGATAAATAAGTTTAAAGTTTATAGTTAGTATTTTATGGTTTATGGGTGAGAAGACAATTAATATAATTAGTGAAAAGTAAAAGTTAGTTGATAAGTTAGTGAAAAGTAAAAGTTAGTTGACAAATCAGTTGGAATAAAAATTCAACCATTTTTTTTTAAATGTTGGGAATTCCGACCACACCGAAACTCCGCCCAAGATCCGCTGGAAATAATAAAACTGGAGAACACAAAGTTTAACGTGGAAAACCCTCTGTTAACGAAGAGGGAAAAACCACCAGGGCAACAAGGCCGTAGAAAAT